TAGAAGGGTTTGTAAGTGATGTAATACTTGCATGTTGACAGGATGATGTTGTAGAAGCACTCAGTCGAATTTTGTTATATTTTGTAGTAGTTGTGGTGGCATTAGAGGAAGTGGTGGTTTCCAAAACTTTTAGTTTAAATGTCTATTTGAGATTTTGATGATTTTTCAGGTTGGTTTTGTCCATGTTACAGGGGAAATTCTGTCAAAATTTTCATAGAAATTAGCACAGTCAAAATAGGTCAAGTTTGCCTCGGTGGTGGGTCCGACATTTAGCTGGCATCTACTACCGGCGCACGACACGTGTCGAGTCAATTAGGTTGAGTCGGGACGGGTCGTGTCATAAACAACTTCAGAATTAAACCTTTTAAAATTATTCCCTGTGGAATTTCATGTAATGCACAAAGTTGACGACAGTCCATAATTTAATTTCCACACAGGTAGCAGGAACTCATAATTGACATTCAACATGCAGGAACTCGTAATGGATGGACATTCATTATACAGAAATTGATTTGTTGCATAACGAACATGTAACCCATTCTCACAGATTACAGGTGCAAGTTTAGCAGAAGGTGAGAATACTCGATACCTTAATTTTTGCTTCCCACCAATGCTCAAGGGTGTGGATTCTATCGGTACCTGAGCGGCACTCTATTCTAGTGCAAATGCATCAGCTGTAAGAGGTGCTTGTGAACCGTGTTTAACTTAAACCAATAGTTCTTCATCTGTAGTATACTCCAGCTGTTCTTGACAGACCTATTGAATAATTCTGCGATACGTTGCCATCTTTTTGTCGAAAACCATTTGCCTCATCAGTGGCCTACATCAATGACATTTTTACATATGGCGATGAAAACTTTGTGCTCTGACAGGTCCCGTTTTACAGACTTGCGCACAATGGGCTGGGCAGTGTGTAAGTTCGAAGATTCACGGTGGACATGGCAGGGGCTACCAATGCTGTAGAATTGCACGGGAAAGGTGCGAAACCAAAATTAGCCCAAAGTTAACAAGACGAAAATGGGAAAATGGGAATGAACAAATTGTGCGAAAATAGGAACAAAAAAGGATCTGCTGGCATATTTGAAGACTTTGGGCTTGCAAATCAGGAAAAAAAATAAATAGCATGTGCTCCGAATAATATCGGGATGAGGATTCTTTGTTTTCCATTGTGTACAGCATGTGCTCCGAGTAATATCGGGATGAGGATTCTTTGTTTTCCATTGTGTACTGATTGCTTGTCCTAGAAGCTGGGTCAGAGAAGGCATAGAATATCAAGGCGTCGGATCTAGCATTGAGACGAGGTCGAGAGAGGCAATGTTCAACTGGATAATGAAATGATCGCGATTGTCGGATGGACCTCTGGTTGGTGGTAAAAATCGAAAATAGTGAGGTCGTTTGGTCGTGTCCTTTGTCAATTTGTTTCAAAACGCATGCTTCAATTGCCTCACATTTTAGCAGCGCGGTATGAAGGAGGAGAGAATGAAATGATAGGGTTAAAACGGTGGAGGGATTTTGTGACCTTTTCCAATTGCATATGAGGGCAAAACAATCCACAAAGTCTCAAACGGTTAGATCTTCATAATATCTATTCTGATACAATATGACTTATTGTGACGTGTTGGAAGGCATGCACTATAGGAGAATGAGATGATAAAACAAAATTCATTAAAATGAGTACCAAATGTAGGTTAATATTATCTAAAAAATATGATAAAAAATTAAAACCTTGGTTTACCAAGTACATTTGAATAATTTAATTTTTGAAAATAAATAAATTAATTAAAAAATAAAAAATAAACGGGATAATAAATAGGGCAAGGGCCCCGCCCCGCCCCGCCCCATCTTAAACGGATAACGAGGTAAGTACATGGTAGAAAATTACCCTGCAGGGGTGAGAAGGTTGCCTCGACCCCGAACCCAAACCCGCCACATTGCCATCCTTATCCAAACTTAACTATGTAATGTGAATGCGCCAATGTGCGCAGGGCACTTCTTTTTGCAACCCAAAGCTAAAACTAATGAGCCATGAGTACACAACAGTTCGCATGGACCAATATCTCGCGCAACTTCCCTCTATAACTGAAACTCTTTTTGGTAACAACTTTGGACAAATTTCTTTACCTAAATTGGAAGATTATTAACATTACAAGGATATCTCTCACATTTCTTATCAATTCATATCACAAAATCTTTCACTAAAAGAGGGGCCGATTCGTCATATTTTGAAGAGGATGATATATATAACAAGGAATTGAAGGAAAATAACAAGAACTTGAAGTTATGTCTTTTCATTCTTCTTATTGTTTTGTCATTATATTCATGTTGGACTAGATTTCCTTTGTATTTGATAAAGGTGAACCTTATTATTTGGTTATTTTATTAATTCAAAAACTAAATAATTTTATTAATTTGTATTTTTGATTGATCTTATAAATTTGTTGAATTATTTAATTTCTTGATCACAAATTAGGTAATTAGTTGTCTGATGTAGTGATGAGAGGTTAACAATAGGTTTAAAACTGTGTAATTTTAACACTAGAGCAATAAATGTTAGGAATAACATGGATGGCATATGCAATTTTATATATAATTGTACAACTGAATGTGTTATTTTACATATGAATACGGAACAGAAATATGATCGAGTCGTGCTTAAAATATGTTTAGCTCATCGAGAGAGAGAGAGAGAGAGAGAGATAAAACTTAATTATCTATTATCATGAATACACAAATCAAACTAAATTACATAAGTTGATAATTGAAAATAGGATAATAATTGGTGGATTCGAATTCCAACATGTACTCATATTTTAGTTTAAAAATATCTTAGTTAATTGGTCGATTAATTTAAATATAAATCATTAAATCTCTTTGGACATTTGTTTTTGATGAGTTTGTTTCGCTCATGAATTTTGCACAATTTTAGCTTGATTATTTGCTAGATCTTGTGAGTATAGAACGTTTTTGATGTGTTTGTTAATGTTGTTTTGAAAATTAGGAAAGGCAATGCAAAAAGAGGAAGTAAAGCGGACGAAGAGATAAAAAATAAGGAAATTGGGATAGAAAGATAGCGCTTAGGCACTGCATTTGTAGTGCCTAGGTGCTGCAATCATAGTGCCTAGGCGCTATCATCAGCGCCTAGGCGTTGCAGACGTAGCGCTTAGGCGCTACGCTTAAATTGATGCGGCGCTTAGGTGCTAGTTCCTAGCGCTTAGGCGCTACGCCGGGGTTATCTAGAGAACATTTTTGGACCGTTTTAAAGTTCATAAAAATCCTACTCTACACAAACGGAGGAGGTACCTATAAATACATCTTTCTCACACTTTTGAGGGGTTCTACACACATTGGGAGGCAAGACAACAAAAAGGGGGACTCAAGAAAGAAGTTCAAGGAGAATAACACCAAATAATTGAAGATTCGAAGTATTGATTGGAAGGGGAAGGAGATCTTAGTGTAAGAATTTTACTTTTTCTTCTACATCTTTATTACAAATCCGGTGATGTATTCTACGACAATTTACTAGATTTCTTCTTACATTATGAAAATTTAAATTTATTGTTACGGCGAATAATGTAACCAATTGGAATCCTTTACATTCTCTTATTAAGATTCTTAGTTTTTAATTTTTTCATGTGTTAATTTTGCTATGAGTTGAATGCACTAAATTACCTAATCAATAATTTGATGATTTTTTGTGAATTCTTTACAAATAGAGATATGAATTTATGATTTAGACCATGTAGTAAAACCCATTACATTGGTATAACGAATAGAGATACATATACTATTTATTGCCATCATAATTGAATTCATAAGACAAAGAACTCGTTTAACTAAATTGAATTTGTATAGAGATATGAGATTTAATTAGTTGAATAGATTCAATGAGAACTCAAGAGGGGTAAATTGAATACAATGGGGGAATTCGACTGAACACTACATTAGAATTGATTCTTAATTTGAAATGTAAAAGTGATCAATAGGTGAAGTTATTCAGCCCTAACATCCATTTATTATTTGATTTTCCAATCAATCGTGTGAACATCCATTTATTTTCTAGAATTTAGATTAAAACTCAGATTCTACAACTTTTAAGTCAAATAGTAATTAAAGAAAAATTAAATTAAGTGCTGGAAAATATTCCTTGTGGGATTGACAATCTGGACTCTTAGGTCCACTATTATTTGTTACGGGTCGTACACTTGCGAAACAAAATTTTACAACAAGTTTTTGGCGCCGTTACCGGGGAATATTACGTTTAGTCTTAATTTATTTTTATTTTTAACTGTTATTTGATTTGTTTATTTTTTTATTTATTTACAGAAAATTGTGTTCATTGTATACGCCGTGCCCAAGGCGAAGATCTTGAACCATTTGATTTGGAGATAGAACTTACCTTCGAACGAAGACGCAAAGAACACAAACAAAAACAGTAATATCAAATGGCGGACAATCAACAAATCTCTATCCCTATTCAGCCGATTGAACAAATGGCCACAAAAGTGGTAGCACCATCGGAACAACAGCATGAGCGAGGGGACATAAATGAAGGTGATTTGCCAGTATTGATGTTCCTGACACCTATAACAGCACCCATGCGCTCCATTATTGTGTATCTAGATTTTGGGGTGAATAACTTTCAGATCAGGCCAAATTGGATTATTTTGATGAGCAACACTCTGCAATTGTATGAGCTGCCTCACGAGAATTCGAACAGACATATCTCCAAATTTCACAGAAATTGTAAGAACTTCCATACTCCGAGGGTCAATGAAGATGCTAAATTACGGTTATTTCCATCTACATTGAGAAATGCTGCATTGGGATGGTTATATGCATAGCCTCATGCCAGTATTACTACATGGGAAGAACTAACCAGGAAATTTTGCAATAAATTTGTCCCACAGGCCAGAGTAGCTAAAATCAGATTGAAAATTCAAACTTTTCAACAGAAAGATGGAGAAAGTTATCACGAGGTATGGAATAGATTTAATGAGCTGATGAGAAAATGTCTAAACTATGGAATCACTTTAGGAAACCAAGTGTATTACTTCTACACCGGACTTACACCACTGTCAAAATCTCAAGTGGATGCCTCCGCTGGTGGATCAATCATAGGGAAATCAGCGCAACAAACCATGGACCTATTTGAGTTAATTGTCACCATACATTCAATGTTATCATCAAAAAGAGAGGTACCACCAAAGGTAGCAGGAATGTATGAATTAGACAGCATGATATCTACCAATGCACAGATAGCAGCTTTAACAAAACAGGTAGAGTTACTTGTAAAATTGCAAACACATGGAGCAAATGCAATGATAGCCAGTTCAGCATGTGAAAATTCTGGGAGAAATCACGCTATAGAGAGCTGCATGATGCTCACTTCTTCAGAGGAACAAGTAAACTTTATTCAAAATAGCTCTAGTAATTTCAACTCATATGGGAACAATTTTCAGCAAGAAAGAAGACCAAGTTTGGGGAAGATGTTTCAACAATACGTGCAGAAGACGGACAAAGTGTTCCAACAAATTAACACGAACTTTCAAAATCAACAGGCATTCATCAAGAAACTGGAAACACAAATTGGTTAGATAGCGCAACAAATTGCAGAACATCCACAAGGGACATTGCCAGGTAATACTATGATGAATCCTAAGGAACAGATGATGGTAATTAAAGTAGTGGAGAACGACCTACTCAGAGCCCCCGTGAAAGTTAAAACATATGTACCTACACTTCCGTTTTCCCAAAGACTTCGAAAGAAGTCGATGGAGCAAAATATTCATGTCATAAATACAAAGAGCGAGGTACAATCACCAAATCACTACAGAGAGACCCAAAAGAAAAGATGACTAGGAAGTGATTGATGAAGCTACAAAAGTAGAAAAATCTGCACCAAACATAACTGAAAATTGAGAAAGTACAGAAACATCACCTGCCAAAGCATCAAATCTAGACAAAGCTTACATGCCTCCCATTCCCTCTCCTCAAAAGCTCAAGAAGAACAAACAAGATACAAATTATGAAAAATTTCTTGATGTTCTCAAGAAGCTCCAGATCAATGTTCTGTTCATTGATGCAATACTACAAATTCCAAGCTACGCGAAATTTTTGAAAGAGATGTTGACAAAGAAAAGAAAGCTTCCAAAGTTTGAAACTGTGGCATTAACTGAGGAAAGTAGTGCAAGAGTTTAGAGCAAATTGCCTGCCAAATTGAAGGATCCAGGGAGTATTACTTTACCAATTTCAATTGGAAATTCCTACTCAATTAATGCATTGTGCGACACTATTGCTAGTATCAATCTAATGTCGTATTCTGTTTATAGGGAATTGGGACTAGGTGAAATCAACTCAACATCAATAATGCTCTAACTAGCTGATAAAACAATCGCAAGGCCACGTGGCAAAGTTGAGGATGTACTCGTAAACTAGGAAATTTCATATTTCATGTGAATTTCATTGTATTGGACATACCAGAAGATCGAGACATTCTAGATATATTAGGTCGACCATTCTTAGCAACGGGACGAACCCTTATTGACATGAAGAAGGGAGAACTAATCTTGAGGGTGGAGGACAAGCAGAAGATATTCAATATTTACATCCAATATGAGAAACCTCCCAATAAAAATGATTGTTGTAGAATTGATGAAGAATAGTCATCTGATCAACGAATCTGTCATAACAAAAAAAAAATTTGGAGAACTTCTTGGTAGAGATAAGAATGGACAAATCAAAATCTGGAGACCAAAAAAGGACTGTATCAATGAAAATTGTACAAAATGCAATGATGGAATAACTTGGTTTGACCACCATGATAAATCAGCGGCACAAGTCAAGTTTATATGACTTAAAAGAAGCGCTTCTTGGAAGGCAACCCAAGCTTCTTTTTTTTTCAAAGTTCTAGCATAGTTTAATTTATAATTTATTCATGAATTATCACCCATACCCCTTCTACCCATAGGTCTTGGAGTAATTAAGTTGGTTATTAGTTGTTTCAACTAAGGAGTTCCCTTGTTCCATGAGTTTAATTTTTCAAATTTAATTTCTCAGGAACATGACGTCGCGGAATACTTAAACCAACATGGACATGGAGAAAATGGGACAAATTTCAAGTTTGGAGGAGAATATGGAAGAATAGTCGATCAAATGCAACATCAAGACATCACAACATCATAGGCAATACTGACATTTCAGGGAAGTCCTCTTCATTTTCCTTTAAATTTAACATTGAGGACAATGTTTAGTTTAAATTTAGGGGAGTGTATTATTATTAATTGCCTACGTGAAATTTTTTTAAGTTGGACATTTTGTCTTACAATTACGTTTTACTTTGAGATTCTGTTGATTTATGAATTGTGGATAGGATGCATGCTAGATTGATTGAAGCTTAACCTTGCAAAACTCGATATTATACGTGTACCAGAATTGAGTCTGACACTGTGATGAAACGAGTTGATTCATTTGTCAGATAGGTTGATTTAATTGGACATAGATGCTTTACCTAAACCATAATAAGTTACTTATCCTTAGACCAAAGTTAGCATAGTTTGGGGGTGACTTTACAGTTGTAGGAAGATACGGATGTGAATTTAGATTCCATGTGTAAAAACTTATGTATAGATTGTCTTAGACTAACATGATAAAACTAGGTAAGAGTCTTAAGTTGGAGGTCGATTTGTTTGAATAAGTGTGTGATAAGGGGCAATGCACTAATCAAGACATATACATTTGAAAATTCTAATCTTTTCTCTGATTACTTTATGACTCGAGTGATTAAGTCTGCAAGGGTATCTTAAATCCTGGTGCCCTAAAGTTATTTGACTTGAGAGTCATTGACCTAAAGTTCACTACAGAAGTCATTTAGAAGCCAATCAGAGATGAAGTTGCACTTGAATTTTGACTCGGGTCAGTAAGCCTATAAGGGTGTTTAAAATCTGGTGCCTTAAAATTATCTGATTTAGGAGTCATCGGCCTAAAGCCTACTACAGGGGTCATCTAGAAAGTTTAATGGAAAGAATTTAAAATAATAATAATAAATAAATAAATAAAATAACTTGTGAAAAAAAAAAAGCAAGTGCATGAAAAGAGCAAAAACACTAAATATCTTGGTTAAACCCTAAAACTTATTTGAGGGAATTTGACTTTTGATGCAAGATAATTTGCTAGTTGAGTCGGGGCGGTCAAAGCAATCAAATCATTGGAGAATCCTTGTTCACTGAAGTGTTGACTTGCAATTACTAACGTCCACCTGAACTCGAGAAGGTGAGAATAGTAATGAAATATTCAACTTTAGGTTACACACTGGGAATGAGTGAATCTTACGAGAAATGTAAGGTATATTTGACCACAGAGGGTCAGGAATTGAAACAACTTGTGCAGTCATGGTTGATTTCTTAATTCTTCATTCACACACATATCGGTTCTGCACTGGAAGAGTAGTTATAGTTTTGGTATTGTGACTTGAAGCATGTTTGTGGAATAATCATCAAAATCTCGAATCCTGAAGTAAAAAGTTTGATGGTCCAACCAATTATCTTTTGCAAGCCTCTGTGTATCGTCCTTGGATGATTTTATTATTTGGTGTGTTTGTTTGCTCGAGTACTAGCAAACGGTTAAGCTTGGAGATATTTGATGAATTTGTTTCGCTTATGAATTTTGCACAACTTTAGCTTAATTATTTGCTAGATCTTGTGAATGTAGAACGTTTTTGATGTGTTTGTTAATGTTGTTTTGAAGATTAGGAAAGGCGATGCAAAAAGAGGAACTAAAGCGGATAAAGCGATCAAAAATAAAGAAATTGGGACAGAAAGACAGCACTTAGGCGCTACATATGTAGTGCCTAGGTGCTACAAAACTTTAAAGAAATGAAACTTAAACCCGAGAGATAGCGCCTAGGCGCTGCAATCATAGCGCCCAGGTGCTATCATGAACGTCTAGGTGCTGTAGACGTAGCGCTTAAGCGCTGCGCTGGGGTCATCTAGGGCGCATTTTTGGACTGTTTTGAAATCCATAAAAGACCCTACTCTCTACATAAACAGAGGAGGTACCTATAAATACATATCTCTCATACTTTTGAGGGGTTCTACACATATCGGAAGGCAAGACAACAAAAAGGGATATTCAAGAAAGAAATTTAAGGAGAATAACACCAAGTAATTGAAGATTTGAAGTATTGATTGGAAGGAGAATGAGATCTTGATGCAAGAATTTTACTTTTCCTTTTACATCTTTATTACAAATCCGGTGATGTATTCTATGACAATTTACTATATTTTTTCTTGCATTTTGAATGGTTAAATTTATTGTTAGGGAGAATAATGTAACCAATGGGAATCCTTTACATTCTCTTATTAAGATTCTTAGTTTTTAATTTTTTTTATTTGTTGATTTGATATGAGTTGAATACATTAAATTACCTATCAATAATTTGATGATTTTTTTGAATTCTTTACAAATAGATATATGAGTTTAGGATTTAGACCATGTAGTAAAATCCAGTACATTGGTATAATGAGTAAAAATACTTATACCATTTATTGCGGTCATAATTTAATCCATAGGACAAAGAACTCGTTTAACTAAATTGAATTTGCATAGAGATATAGAATTTAATTAGTTAAATAGGCTCAATGAGAACTCGAGAGGGTAAATTGAACACAATGGGAGAATTCGACTGAACACTACATTAGAATTGAGTCTTAATTTGAGATTTAAAAGTGATCAATAGGTGAAGTTAATCAACCCTAACATCCATTCATTATTTGATTTTCCAATCAATTGTATGAGCATCCATTTATTTTCTAGAATTTTGATTAAAACTCAGATTCTACAACTTTTAATGTGTTTTAGTCAAATAGTAGATAAAGAAAAATTGAATTAAGTACTAGAAAATATTCCTTGTGGGATCGACAATCCGAACTCTTAGGTCCACTATTACTTGTTACAGGTCGTATACTTACGAAACAAAATTTTACAACAGTGTTGGTAACAAGTTGATATAATTCAATTTAAAGTTTATTTCTTTTGAGACGATACTATTTACTCACTACCTTATTACTCGTCAACGACCTCGTATGCTTGCGAAATTTTACATGAACAAGTAATAGCATGAAAGTTAGCACTAATGATTAGTTTAACTATAGAGGTCAAAAAGCATTATAGTTACTTTTAACAATCACGACTCACGAATTAAATCCTCAAGCTTTCATTCAAAAGTTAAAAACCAACAATATGCTAAAAAAAAAAAAGTCGGGTCATCATCTAAGAATACACATCTCAATGTTCCATTTTCGTAATTAATAAAAAACAAAAAAACATATTGCGACTAGATATATGAAAGACGATTTGAAGATTAGTTATGATCCTCACCGGTCACAACATAGTCAGTGTAATTAATAATATTCCTTCTTAGATGGATAAAATTTTGCTATAAGATAAAAGCAAAAGAAGTGACTCAATCACCAACACCACCACTAAAATAAATCACTAAACAAAAAATAATATTGATTAAAGGAAGAATGAGGAATTTTAAAATAATGCAAAAAATGTTTCTCCATTCTGCACTTTTATACACTCTGTAGATTACTATGTAATGAAAATGAGAATAGAAAGATAACATGATGTGTATGATTAGAGGGAAAAGGTTGAACATATTATGATTTATTTAATGCATTTTTTAAAATACTTAAAGATCGGGAGGTTGTTCTCTTCGTGTTTGAGTTTTGAATTTGTTTTGAGATTTGTGTTTTGACTGTCCATTTTGATATTATTGAAAATGCATTCTTTTTGTCATTCTGAAAAAATGTTTCTTAAAATATCGAAATGGAAAACGTGTTTACTTGTAAATTTTGAGAATCACCACTGCTAACCAAAACACCACCACTACCATCGCAACAACCACAACCAGTTACCACTGCCAACACAACCACCACTGCCATTGCCAATCAACACAACAAATCCACTGCCAATCGAAATCAATACAACCACCACTGCCAATCGGAATCGCCACCACCAGTCACCACACCGTACCAACACCAGTCACCACACCGCATCACACCAGCACCAGTCATTGTCACCACACAACACCAGATCAAAAAAAGCATAAAACCCCCCAAACCAATAGATTGAAAAGAGAGATTGGTCGCGATGAATGGGTCTGAAAAACCCCCAAACCAGCAGATTGAAAAATGCAAAACACCTCCATCAACCAAAACAATGATCGATTGAAATATTAATGTTGAAATATTACGGTTAAATCAATTGAAAAAATGAAATCTTTTTTCACTTTCACTTCACAAACTTGGTTCACTTTTTGTGACTCGCCTTCGTATTTATAAAATCAATTATTGCTAATAGATTTGTTTCCTTATTTGATCAACTCCGTACACTTTACTAGCTTATATTTCACAAAATTTGCACGAGTTTTTATGATAAATTTTACATTAGCCATTTTCTTACAATTGATTCACCCCTCTAACTCCACCCAACGTTTGACAAGAGGTTAAGCGTTCTGAAGCTAACTATTCCACTTTCTAAATTGACTTTAGTAATCCGAATTAATCTTTAACTAGCGAGACTTGTTTGTAAATACTCTCATGACTCCATTGTAAAATGTTAAATAAGCCCATACAAATTGGCGAGAGAATTAAAATAATAATAATAATAAATAAATAAACCAAATTTTGAAATAGAACAAGTAAATTTCATTTCGACAACAAAATACAAGGCAGCATATGTTTGATTATTACATGATAAAAAGCAAATTATAGAGCTAAATGTCAATAGCTCCCCTTTCCACAATGTAATTAAATCATTTATGCTTGTTATAGCCTGCACGATCCCTTCCACGCACCTTCTCCCTTGAACCTTTGGAGCGCCGAGGCTCTTTGTCGTCCCACTCTGTGGCTTGTGGTGGAGACGAGGTGTACTTTGACGGCCTTCTCTTGAAATGCCTATCATCGTCACTGCTGTCATAATCTACAGCACCCGCGGAAGCAGCAGTTGCTGCCGTCTTCCTTGAACCAGAGACTGGCCCCCTGTGCTCTTCATGGTATCCATTAGATGCTGATGCACGGTGGTGATTCAACGAGGCACTGACCGGTGCATCAGGAGAGGAAGAAGATATTTTTCTTTTCTTCGGGGGTGTTGAGTCATCTCCTGGGAAGCTAATCCGAGAGAAGACACTGGCTTTTTGCTTCTTGTCAGCTGTGGAGGTGGTGGGCTTGGGCCGTGCAATGGGTGGCTCTGGAGATGCCTTGGCAGTGGACAACTCGGACCGACTGTGGCGATCATCAAACGCCTTGGCAGTGGACGATTTGGGATGATGACGATGATCGCTGTGGCGGTGATCATCGTGATAGTCACGACGGTGCTGCTTGTCTTCCATGTCCTCATGGCGGTCCGATGATTTCCTCTTGGATGAAGGGCGCAGATCCTCAGGATCACGGGAGCGACGATTAGGGGAATGTCTATCGGATGAGCGGCCATAGTAGCGGTGTTGGTCTGAGCTTGACGGAGGGGGGATCGACTTCTGCATCAGTCACAGGAAAACAGAAAAATAAGTCCAAATTCACACAAAAATTTAGATAACATGACCTAAAAAATGCCTACTACAACAAAATAAAATTATCGTTAGTAATCCCAAGTGATTTTCTAAAGAAAACACTACCAACTGGGGAAAAAAATAGAGGGGGAAAATCCAGCTTTTATATCATTATTGTAATCAGTATCATTACAATTTCGCAATTTCTTCCATAAATTACGTCCCAATAACAACGTATTCAGCAAATATTTACACAGTACTGTTCATAACATTATATTGTGGAGATGGCGTCCATGAAAAATATTCATGTTCGTCAATTTTTTTATGAAAAGAGAATTTTCTAACAAGTCTGACTTTGTCATGTGCAAAAATCAAGAATTCAAAGCTGCCTATTGATTTATTTCGCCTATTTTTTTCTCGTTATTGTATTTGTTTACTGGAGGATATGAACAAAAATTTTGACTACGTATCGCGACGCCCTTTAAAAGGAAAAACAGTGGTAAGAATTATACATTAAATCACTAATAACAAGAATAATGGTTGCGTAACCTTTGCATCACAGTAATGTCCAGTTCAATACAAACCAATGCAATATGAGGTCAATTGAAACCAAATAATGCAGAGGTGCAAGTATAGAGCAGAAATGGAAAATTCGATAATTCATTTAGAAGGGGTGGTGGCTATGGCTCGAAAAATTGTACAGATAATAAACTGATTCTAATCTTCTTCGAGTGAATTCTCTACATTTCCACTTGAGCTTCATTTTGCGGCCAATAAGATGGAACCAACAAGTGTTAACACACTCGTAAGTTTAGGAAACTAAGCACTAAATTGAAAACGTAAGAAATTTGCTTTTAACTGGCAAACAAACAATTTGCCCACTTTTAATAATGGAAAGGAGAAACTGAAAAAACAATCTCTTTGTAAAAACGGCTGTTTTCTTGCCAGAAAACCATTCGGCCCAACTATTTCAGTGGTGGTCAAGTCCTGCAAGAGTGCATAAAAATAACATAATAATGTCTCGATAACAAAATTACATACTGATTTGGATTTCATTGCAGAAACATTGCCCGTGCTGCTCCTTCCTTCTCTACCATATTCCTGGTCTTTAGATGACTCCCTGTGCAACATAAAAAGGTTAAGGCTCAAGGCAAAATTCAAAAAACATACAACAAAGTAAAAGGGAAAAATAAAATAAAATTAATAATAATAGTAATTCAATTGTGCACGAAGTATTTCCGATCAGTCATAAGACAACGAAGAAAACAACATTCAAGGAGGATCACATGGCACATCTGGGAGTTGTTTAGAAAAACGGCTTAAATTATAAATAGATAGAAATGAGTGGTAGATAAAAGGGTACAACTTGTGGGTCCCTCAAAATGTGTGGATAAAAAGAGCTTTAGTGTTATAAACAGTTCGTAAACAAGAACCAAAACACAGGCTTAGAAAGCACAATATTTGTAAATGCGATTGTCGAAACAGATCCAAAGCCAAATAGGATCTACTTACAAACATGTCATGCCAACCATGTTCTGTATATAGTTGAAAACAATAACATGTAAAACAAGAACATCTGCTACAATTAGAATTTTAGGCTTCCAGGTTATTACATACATCTGGCTTCAAATAGGCATCAAATCACAAACATATTTATCAACTTCGAATCATTTGTACTCAACAGGTGTCCGCCTCAAATAAATATATACTAGCATAGAAGATATTGTTCTAGCATGCAATAATTCAAAAAAACAATATATAAAAATAGGTTTAGAGGAATGTAAATTTAATGTAAGCAAAAATAAATAAATATATATGAGTTTTTTTTTTCTTCTACCTATCAACACGTCCTTCCATTTCACGCTTCCTCTTCAAATCTGCTTTGCGCGCCTCAAATTCCTCTCTCGACATTACGGGTGGACCAGGTGGTGGTCGAACATTGAATCCCATTGCTAAATCTGCAAGGTCCCTGGAATCAACGAAAATATATTAAATAATCAGAAATAAAATAGTACAAGACAACATGTTTATCAATCACTGCTTGTGTTCTGCAAGCTTCACTCAACAATGCAAGACACCCTCATACTACCCATCAAGGATGTGCAAAGGATCGCGTGTGTGTGCATGCGTGAGAGAGAAAATCAGAAGGAAAACTGAAGCACACCTTTGAGGCAGGCCACCATATGGCATCATAAACCCTGGTCCTCCAAATGGATCCTGTGGCATGACACCACCAAATGCAACATCCATAGGACCGAGCCCATAACCCATATAGGGCATATGACCATTATACGGAGGCATGAACCCATCCATTCCAGGTTGCATGCCTGTCCAGTATGGATTAAAAGCAGAAGGGCCAAAAGGCATCATATAATTCTCTGCTGCAAGGTCCTGGCCAGTCCACTGCATATCCGCTGCTACATGGCAATCCAATTCTTTATCATTAAAATACTGAAGTACACACAACTACTATATTGGGTAAAATTCTATCCACAATAAACCTAATAAAAAACATTTCAATTTACTGCAAACAAGGACTGGACTCAAATCATAAATCATACCATTAGGAGGCATGCGAATTTTCTTCTTTTTCTTCTTCTTTCCTGTAAAGCAAGAGAAAAATACACATATGAAACGGATCAGGATCAGGGTCCAACCTCGAAAGCAAAAAATGCCAAAATTTTCCAGTCTTATCCTATTAGTTGATGTGCACAACATGCAAAAAGGAAAGATTGAGGCAACATCACACTAGCATAAGCACACTCGCTATCAAGTACCATATCTATAGTAATGCATATTCCTCAATTACCTGCCTCCCCAGACACAGGCTTCTCCTGCACTTCTTCATCAGCCAATGGAGGACGTCCAGGTGAAGCTTGTTCCTTAACATTTAATGACCCATGTGTAGCTTCTGAAACGTCCGGTACTTTTGTTCTTGCTTCCACCTGATTCTGTGGAGCATTCACCTCTTTCCCCTCTTCAACAGTTTCTGCAATTTTAGAAGTCTCTTCCTTTTCAGGAAGCAATGCAGGCACATGCTGTCCTTTTGAGGCAGCAGATTGTGTGGGGGATGGAGCCATAGCCTGTGGATTCCGTGACTCCATATCTGGAAACCAAAATGATGTCACAGAGAGAATAATAACTGTAAAGGAGAAAAGTAATTTAATATAGAACATACCTTGGACTTGAAATACACTCCCACCATTTTCACCACTGCTGTTATTGGACTCTAAAATTCGGTTAATAGTTTCCCTTACTGTCTTGTTGGGCAAAAGATCATCCGCAAGAATATTTGTGGCCCCACAGACACACATTGATTTAGAAATGAAGTGATCCCTTATGCCTAAAGAAAATCCAGAAATCAGAAAGATATAGGAAAAACTAGCATTTTCAGAACACCTCATAACTGTATAAAAAGAGATCGCACACCTTCCTTCCCCCAATACTAACCCACAAACTCCATGCTACCCATTCCCATAAAAGTGATGGAACAGAAGAAAATGTGTTGCCATTCAGATGGCACACGACAATGAGACAGCAAAGAATCAATATCACAGTGGAAACGAAGCATGGTTTGCAACTACAGCAATAGATAACTTACATTTATCACAAAAGCTTTTAAAACAACACTTGCTCGTAAGTACAGCATCTTTCATTACTTCTTTACACAAGGGGCAATGTAGTTCTGGTGGAAGATCACCAACAGAACGCGTTGATGGCATTCCTTCAATCTCTTTCTCAAAGGCAGCCCTGTAATAAACCCCAGTTATAAAAAAACATTCTTCATGCAAACAACCAATGTTATAAATTTGAATACACGGAAAACGGAAAAACTATACTCGTTTGGCTTCAAAACTGCAACAGCCCCACTAGGTAATGCATAAGAACCATCTGGAGTAGCCATTAACATAGACTTCGGAATTCCAGTCGGTGGTTTCACCCTTTTGATGTCAAAATTAGGATCACCATTTGTTGGGCAGTGCTGAATAAAATGCCCTAAATAGAAGGATTTTTTTAATTTAGTGCCTGTCTCGGATTCTTTATAAGTTACTTATATTATAAATTGATAGAAATGAATGCTGGATAAGTACGAAATGTGTGGTTAAAAATTGATGTTTGACAAACTTAAATTATAATTTCACGGAATTCAAAGAAACTTTTAGTAAGTTCTACTTTTCACAAATTTAAGAATAATCTTCCCTCAGAGCCACTTGATATAAATTAATCAGCATCTTAGCAGATAAGGAACGTACCAGGTACCTTGCACCTATGACATATGTAGCCTTGTGGCGGTGTTTTCCGATCCAATATGCCTCGTCCTATGGAATCAATAATAACTTTCAGTTTTCACAGAATTTGTAGAGAACAAAACTAAAAGAATGAATAAAAGCATTTAATTTAACATAGTTAAAAGTCCTGAACGGTAAGTCAATATTTGAACATTTCGATATTTTCCAGAGAAAGAAACAAGCAACTTTTGCACTGTTCTACAAATGTTCATCATCTCCAATAAATGGCTTTCAAAGGATAGAGACCTCAGGAAAATAATATTATTCTATAATTGAATGAAAACAAAGACAAAGACGAACAGAAAAACTAGTCTAAGGAGTTAAAATGTGATGAGAGAATCACCAAAACCACGGCCACTCATCATTCTTCCACCCATGCCCCGTCCAAAACCTCTACCAGGACCAAAGCCATCAGAAGATTGACTGCAACCACAACAATCACAACACCTAAGCCTAACAAATCAACTAGCAGAAAAACTTTTGCCAAATTGTAATAACACCACAAGAGGACTTCTCACCGCTGCCAATCTAAAGTTGGAGTGTCAATCAGAGCCTTGATCTTCATATCCTCATCCTCTTTGCTGGTAGGTGGAGCATCCTGAACTAGATTGCTAGACAGTACGGGCAGCGTTTCAGGAATCGCATATAGATCATTTCCAAATTCATCCCATTCAAAATCTTCATCCTTCAAGGACCAAAAATTGAAATTTTACAACATTTAGTTACTTGAACTGACGAAATTGTTATATCCAAATTCTTTTCTATCCAAAACTAAGATTTTAAGATTCTTCTAACTAAATAGCTAATTAAAGCTCACATATTTCACAGAAGATGGATCCAATCCAGCAAAGCCAGTTTTTACAGCTTGAACATCCTCGGAATTATTTTCCACCTTTGACCTACAGTTCAGATAAGAAAAGTTCAAGATACCCTGGCAAATTTATAGAAATGCTGGGAGTGTAACTATTATCCTTTCTGTGACTTTTAGTTTATACAGGACATCTTTTAAGGCTTTTATTTTTGGTAGAAGTTTAAAAGCTCAAAGCACCACCAAGGGGTTCTACAAACCACCAAAATAAGTGGGCTTTAGCCTTTAGACAATTACAGTAATTCGACATTTGTTTCCCTCCAACTTTGTTTTCACAAATGTTCACCATGAGAAAATTAAACGAATAAACAAAGTTAAAAGGATCGAGACAATACTCTTCCAGTTCAGTAATTGGTGCAGTAACTATGGGCATGCGAGGCCGTCCAGGAACTCGGCGTATTAAAACTGAAGTATTTTTGGGAATTAACATCCCCTCATCAAGATACTCTGAAATTACAAATTACAGAACAATGAAAAGAGTCTATGAAAACCTGCAAAACTATATATAAAGACAAGCAAGAAGGCACAACTACATTTAACCCCCAAAACACACATCCCAAAGTCATTGGACTCATTGTCCAAAATACTAATATTACAATCACACACAAGCCAGCATACTGATCTCCCATTAAACGGGAAGAAAAACCCTGTACTTTCAATACTGGCAACCCCTAACTTCACCATGAAAATAATTGCTCCATATCACAAGAATTACAAGTTCCAATTCTCAATATATTTAATCTCAAGGAACTTTCTTCAAGAAGTCAAGGCAGATTCTATATGAACCTTTCAAATACTGCTAAATCACAGTGAAGGAACCAACTCTTCAATGAATGAAAATCGCGTACTTTGTGCAATCAACATAACATTTACAATACTGGAATATCCGAATTCCATTTCTTTTGCTTATGTAATACAGTCTAAGAATAAAAAATCATATTGGAGAACTAATGACAAAACCATAAACACCAATAAAGCCTGCACTCTTTACCTTGTGCCTAGCAACACTTGAGGACACAAATCTAAGAACCATAAGTTAAATGACTAGCTTTACTCGAAGTATACAATCACCACTTAGCTAGCTTTCAATAATATCATACAAGAGGTTGTAGAGAATTCGGTTGCATTCAAGACTACATAGAAGAAAGTTCAGTGATCAAAACCTAAATGGTTCATAGTTGTACTATCATCATTTAAAATACAATAAAACCGAGGGCTGTAATGACACTGAGAGGAACTGTAACAATCAACACGCCCAGTACTTGTTTTAGGGATTTAAAAGTCTAAAAAAAAATTCTTATAGAATCAAACCAACCTTCATTAGTCTGGGCGTTGGTGATAAGGAGGTCAAAATCAGTACCCTTGCCCAAATGCTTTGATTCAAATATTTTTTCTTTCAAATGTCCAACGGAAATAAAGTGCCCATCAATCATAACCGAATCGTAATCCTTTGCACTTTTAAATTTATAGTACACTGCCATGTTTACTTTTTTTCTTGCTTTCAAATTCTTTTTTCTTCTCTAAAATGAAAACAATAACAAGAGATTTAAAGGCCGTCAAATACAAAACTGAAGGCCTCGTATTCAACTGAAACAAGAGAATAAAAATAACATGAAAAGTACAATGGAAATCTAAGATCTTTTTTCTCTTTTTTCTTTTTTCCTTTTCCAAGAACTCGAGATTCAAACCAACAAATATTGCACTCGTACTCCTCCGCAAATCCAACTCGCCTTCTAAATCTTTCAAATAGTTCGCAGTTGACAGAAGTTCTTCAAACTCCACTGCAAATCCTCAGACGAAACGCTTGGCCATCTTGATCTGACCTCTAAGCTCTACCGCCGGATCAGATATTATAGAGATCTCGCAGATCCGATGTCAATGAAAAGACTAATGCGTCCTCTTCTTTAAACGGAAAATCGAACCGCCGCGCACAAAAACGTCGACAACGGATTCTCGATCAGACAAAAATTTCTCCGAACGGCTTCAGATCGTATGATTCTCCGAAAAAGACTCGAACAAACACCGAATCTTCAGCAAACGCAAGCAAACTCAACAAACAGGATGAAATAGCGTTCTTTCTCGTCAAGGAAGCAGCTAATCCGCTGAATCTTTGAGAACTGACCCAGAAAACGCAAAACAGTAGAAGATATCGAAATCTTCGATCTACAGACTCGCAGAGAGAAGATAAGATTAGGGTTTCGAGCGTTGAGATAAAAGGAATGTCGCAATATGCTGAAATAGGTATTTTTTTAATGCTTTTGTGGGAAAATCGACAGACTGGGTATTTATTTATAGAGACGGTAGAGTCGGTTATTATACACAAAAAGCTCAACGCGTTTTTCATAACACTTCGCTCAAAGCGTGTCTAACGGACTTGTATTTGAATGTTTATGCAATGGTTGAACCGGTTTTTTAATCCAACAGTGAACCGGTATAATGACGGGGAGATTTTTCTATTTGACCTATTACTGTTCATTTTTATGAAAATGTCTATATTTTCCTTAATGAAATGATTCTTTCTGTATTGCAACATATGTCCTAATCTTTTAATCATTTTATCTTCTATTTACTCTATTTTGAATATTTGAATATAAAATCATTCTATAATCTAATAAATAAGAATAATCTGCAACATACATATTATATTTTCTTAATAAAATATCATATTCTTCAAATGGTAAATTTATATTTTTAATTGAAATATAATATTCTTTATTTCTTTTAACGTTCTTTCTAATAAATTATCTAATCCTTCAATTATATATCATGACATTTATCAAAATAATCATCATGCAATTGTCCCTGCGATTCTTTTTAAAAGTTTAATAGTTTTATCTTAGGTTTGATCTAGACCTGTATTCTTAGAACCGAGTGACCTTTAAGCTCTGAATTTGTAAATTGCTTCCTTCAACGGCCTCCTGCTTTCACGAAATTGTTACTATTTCAGCTACTTGCTGCACTGTATCAACTTCTAAATAATAAGATTCTAAACTTCTGTTAAAAAAAAAACTCTATTTTTGCTAAAATAAGAAGAAAACTTTCTATTAGATTCTTCAAGAATCTATGGAAAAAATTTTAGAAATTCATATTGATATCAAAATATTGAAATTTTATTCCTATCATACAAGACTTCTATTTGGTACAAAGGAATATGTAGAAAAACTGATTTTTCAAACTGAGAATGAGTTATTGCTTATAACTCGAGAATTCAAGATAAGATGAGATGATTTTTTTCTATGGTAATGTCTCTATTTATACAAGTTTATGAGACTCTATTACATCATTGATTACATAAGCAAAGGCACTCTTGCCTCTCTATTTTCTTCCTTGGGCCTACATCTTCACATATTGGTTCAATTTTTCTATCCAAATAGTATCTTTTTTTATTATTGCTCTTTATCTTTAATGTCTTCACATGTAGCATTATTGTCTTTCACACACCTTTCTCAAAAGGTTCTTTGTCTTCTTCTTTCATTTCTTCACATGCAGCTGGGGCATTCTCTTAGTTGGCAGGATTCTTTTATAGTGGTAAGACATCCTGAAAATTAATGTATATCAAATCTTATAATATAATCTTTTAAAATTTTTGATTTTGCATATCCTCCATTGGATACCAACATCCAATTTTCATATTGGCATAGGCATGAGAATTTTTTATCAAACAATCTTTTGACAATGTTGTAGATGGCTTTAATTCCAAGTGCTCTTCTATATCTGATCCATGATTTTGTCATAGTTGGGACTTTTCTATTATTCTGTGTACCATCAATTTGGAAATTTGCTGCAACATATCCAATTGAGATTATGTGTTCAACTGAATAGTAAACAATTACATCATATTCTGGACTGATTGAATAGAATTTTAAAAATATCTTCCTTCCCTTGACAAATTTGGATGCTTCCTTAATGAATATGTCATTAAACTTTGAAATTTTAATAAAATCTTTTCCTGGATAAATCAAATCCATAAATCCATAGTCTGTCATAATTTTTATAAATAAAGGGTCACCTCCTTCCACAACTGTTATTATGGGTTAAACATTATTTCCCAAAGAAATGAAATATGAATCACTTATTTTTATTTCATAAACGATTTTGACTATTTCAACATATTTTTCTTCGTTTGGATCTAAAGGGATTTTATCTTCTTGGTCTATGATGATGATTGTTTTGGTATCTCTTTTATCGCTATATATCATAAATTTCTTGGTTGTTGATACAGAAATGGAATCTCTTTTATTATCAGTTGGTATGTTGTCACGTCTAGGTCCACTGCTGCTTTCAGCTGTTCCTGTTTGGTATTGATTTGGAAAACTCATTTCTGAGCTATTTGGTATATCTATTTCAAACAGTATATTTTTTAGTTGTGTTGCAATAGCATCAACTTGATTTTTGAGTTCTATGGCATATTTATGATACTCAATAGTGATATTCAATAATATTTTCATATTTGAGTTGAACATCTCTGAGATCCGGGTTGCTCTAGAACTTATATCTTCAGATTATTCGTTAAAAAAAATTGTCCTTTCTTGTATATGTATAATAGATTAGTATAACTACATGGCTTTAGCTTTATTCATCAGCAAATTCCATGTTTTTATTGAGAAAATTTGCAAGAAAATTATTAACTCCTTTAATATGGACTATATAAAAATTATAAAATGCTAAATAAGCTTACCATCTATGAAGCCTTCTGTATTATGGTTCTGAGGGTAACTTATTCCTAACTAACCCTGCAACTTGAGAATTATCAGTTTCAACAATAAATTTCTTGGATAATAAAAACAATGAAAACTTTTTTATTCCTCTAATAATTGCTAGTAATTTTTTTCATGAGTAGTATAATTTATTTCTACTTTGTTAAAGGTTCCACTTGAGTAACTACAAATTTCATTAAGATCTGTTTTTAATATTGCTGTCCAATATTTATTTGAGGTATCAATATTAATAATCAAATTATCTTTTTCATTTGATAATCTTAATTTTGGTAATTTTTTGCATTCTTCTTTTAATGATTTAGTTATTTCTGTATGTTCTTCATTCCATCCCTTAGTATTTGTTTTTCTAAGTAAAACTTGGATTTTATATCTTTTCTTAGAAAGATTTTCAATAAATCCTTCTACATAATTTAAACATCCTAAATTTTTTTGAATTTGTTCATTGAATTCTAATTTATTTGAAAAACTTTCTATCTTTCTGGATATATGAGTCTATAATTTTATCCCTCTTTTATCTATTGATAATCCAAGAAAGCCTATCTCTTATTTTTCTATTATAGTTTTCTTTTTAGATAGTACAATTCATTCTTTTTTACATTCATTAATAAATTAGATTAAATGATTTCTATACTCTTCTTTACTATTAGAACATATTAATATATCATCAATATAAACTATTAGAAATCCATTAAACTTTTTAAATATATTATCCATCTTTCTTTGATATATTTGTGGTGCATTTTTCAAACCAAATGGCATAACTAACCATTCATATTTTCCTTAAGGTGTGCTAAATGCAGTATATTGTATACTATCTTCTTCCATTTTTACTTGCCAAAATCCTAAATTACAGTCAAATTTAAATTATACTGTCTTTCTCTTGTAAGATTTATTAGTACTTCTTTATTTGGTAAAAAGTAACCATCAAATTTAGTATATTTGTTTAATTCTTTATAATTTATAATCATTCTAACTTTTTTCTCTAATTTGTTCAGAGTGTTTATAACCATAAAGGCTAGACTATTATGATGTCCATTATTAGGTCTAATAAGTTTTTGTTCTAATAATTCTTTTATCTGATTTTTAAATTCTTGTGTATCTTCTATTGTATACATCATTGGTCTTACTCTTATTATAACATCTTCTGTTAATTCTATTTTGGCTTTTGGATGATGTGGTTTCCAAAAAAATAATAATGGATTTTCTCTATAAACATTTTCTAATTGTTCTATAATTTTTTCTATATTCATTTCTATTCTTATTTTTAGAACCTTTTTATATAATATTCTTTTATTTTTTATTTCATTATTAAGAATTGATTTTTTCTCCAATTTATCACCATACTGGACTGGTTGAACTCTATAAGATTTAAATTCTCTAGGAATTTTTAATAAGTGTCCACAAGGTGTTTGTAGCATTATTATATAATTATTTTGTTTATAATATTGAAATTGTTGTATGAAATCATTTCATAATAATATATCACATTCTAATTTATCATATTTATAAATTTTATTTATTGTTACTTGTTTACTTCCAAGAATTATATCTATTAAAGCAAAAGTTGTTATACTTGTTTCTACAATAGTAATTTGTATATATATAGCTAATGAGAAACTCATCTGATTATTCATCTAATTCTTTTTACATAAGGTAGTTTGTCCATTATGAACAATATATAATCATTCTCTTTTTATATTATAATCTTCTAATCCGTTTAGAAAACTCATTCCTAAAAGTATATGAGGGTTTATATCCATACTTCTATCTATATAACATGGTATTAAAAGATTTATTTCTCTTATTTTTATTGGTACATTAACTTCTAAATCTGTTATATGTATTTGTCCATCAAAATTTACATACTTATATGGTTCAGTTTTATGAGTTATTAGTCCTTTTTTTCTAATCGAAGCTATATAACATTCACTAGCTCCTGTATCTATTAATATATTTGGTCCATTTATATTTTCTCTTCCATTATCATATTCTCCTTCTATTTTTCATGTTTCCAGCATTTCTATACAGTTTTACTTCTTTTATTTTGTTGATTTCTTCTAACTGGTTTTTATTAGGTATTTTAAGACTTTTTGATCTTTTAATTAATTTTTTATCCTTAAATGTTATGTTATTAGAACATTCTCCCTCATTTAATTCTATTATTTCAGATTTATTTTTTGCTATACTAAATTCATATTCTTCTGGAATTAAATTTATTTGTTTATTTGGTTCTATTATTTTATTAATATCTTTACATTCTTTATGAACTTCAATATATTGCTTATTGGAATAAATATTCCCGTAATTAAAATTGGTAAATGTACATAAAGCTCTATATTCTATAGTCATAATTTGATCACCTGATTGCATAATATCATATTTATGAAGCTTGAAATGTAGTCCTAAAACTTCATTAAAATTTCTATCTTTTAATGATACACAATATTTTGAATAACATGTAAACATAATTTTTTGATATGCTAAATTTTCTTCTATTGTTCCTAAATGACTATCTTTTAAGTTTATTATTCTTCCATCATGTAAAGTTATAGTTAAAGGTGAAT